TGAGGACATTTTTAGCAAAGGAACACTAGAAACATGTAGAATTTTTATCATACATTGCCACTAAAAATCTTATTTATGTATTCATTTGTTTGTTGCATTAAATGATATATTAATTATTGAAATTATTTTTGCAATGAAAATAGCCTTTGTTGCTGACATGGCATTAAATAAAAAATACATTACACCAACCCATTAACAAAGTTTTTTTCTCCAATCACAGGACAGGTGACTACACGAGCCTTTGCTTTTGCATTTATTGCTGACACTTGTGTCGTGGGTTTCCTGCTGGTCGCTGCCTTCCTCTTTTTCCACGTGGCTCTGATGCTGAGAGGACAGACCACCCGCGAGTGGTACTCCACCCGACGGCCGTACAGCCTGGGAACCATGGCCAACATCAGGGAATGCCTTGGCAAGAACTGGTACTTCTGCTGGCTCTGTCCGTTGATACCTTCCCCACTGCCTGGAGACGGCATAAACTTCAAGGTGACCGCTTCTCTTGAGCCTAAAAAGCAGGCCGTGCACTGATACTGTAGCCGTTTTCTCAATGCAATTTCAATACACTGATGCAGAATGGCATGCTGTTGAGCCTGAAGCAGCGACTGCATGCTGCGCTCACTCCAAAACTTACCAACCCTCTTTTTATCCGAAGAACCAGCAGGACATGAAGATTTCTGATTTCACCTAACAAATGCCTTTCCTCATTGCAGCATCCTTGATGATAAATTGTTGATAATTTGGTGGATGAGAAATATATAATTTTAAATATTTTATTGTTTTATTTTGTATATTTAGTTGTTGTTTTTTTTCTGTGCCGTCTGTGCTTTTGTAAAGCAAGCAATTTTGGAATGGGAAAAATCACTTTTTTTTTTTTTTTTTATTGATGTGCCAAAAATGGGTTTAATCTAATGTTTAAGTGGTGTATGCCAAGCCGTCATGTTTTTTCCTTGTTTTAATTAAACAAGAAGTGTCTTTTTGTTTAATATTGCACTGAATATTGTTTACCATTGGTCTGATGTTTATATTTGCTATAAATGCCCGATTATTCTTCTGTCTTTAAAATAAATGCCTTTTGGTTTTATATATTTATTTGTTTTGATATTTATTTTTAGATGAGCCTTTAAGGAGAATACCTTATTCACTCAAAAAAATTAATTTGATATTAATTTACTCACTGTCAGGCTATCCAAGATTTAAATCCATTAATTTTTCCTTCAGTTAATTATATTTTTATCCTAAAGCTTTGATGTTTGGCAGTGACTACCAGCACTTTAAGAGCGGGAGTCTAAGAAACAAGTGCCTTTGCAAAAAAACAATGCTATTTAAAGTATTATCGCATTTAACCCTCTGCTTCAGAAAGCTGCCCTGAATTAATTCACAATGGTGTGAAGTGAACAATCCATGCAATATAACAACAAGTGGAATACAAACTGATATTATTATTTTTAAGTAAAAACTAATGGTAACACTTAAGTTAAAGTAACAAGTCCCACTATTAACTACTGAGGTATTGCCTGCTTATTATTAAGATATGGGCTTTTTTATCAACGCGTGTAAAGTGTAATATTATTCTACATTCCTTATTCTAACCAATGATTAAGCCCAACTACTAACTTGCTAACTATTAATAAGCTCCAAATTAGTACTTAAATTAAGCTAAAAGTCTTAGTTAAAGGTTTGTTAACAGCGAGATTTTGTATCTTAAAATAAAAATTTTATTTAAATGTATTTATTATAATTTATTTCAATCATAATTTTATTCAGCAATAAGACGAATTTATTTCGAAAGATTTTTAGATTGTATCATCAGCGGGGCGGCACAGTAGGTAGTGCTGTTGCCTCACAGCAAGAAGGTCACTGGTTCGAGCCTCGGCTGGGTCAGTTGGCGTTTCTGTTTGAAGTTTGCATGTTCTCCCTGCATTCGCGTGGGTGGTTTAAGTGACTTTGAACGTGGCATGGTTGTTGGTGCCAGACGGGCTGGTCTGAGTATTTCAGCAACTGCTCATCTGCTGGCATTTTCATGCACAACCTTCTCTAGGGTTTAAAGAGAATTGTCCGAAAAAGAGAAAATATCCAGTGAGCAGCAGTACTCTGGGGGCAAATGCCTTGTTGATGCCAGAGATCAGAGGAGAATGGCCAGAGTGGTTCCAGCTGATAGAAAGGCAACAGTAACTTAAATTACCACTCATTACAACCGAGGTATTACGCACAGCACATCGAAGCATGAGGCGGATGGGCTGCAGCAGGAGGCCACACCGGGTGCCACTCCTGTCTGCTAAGAACAGGAAACTGAGGCTACAGTTCACACAGACTCACCAAAATTGGACGATTAGAAAAATGTTGCCTGATCTGATGAGTCTCGATTTCTGTTGTAACATTCGAATGGTAGTGTCAGAATTTTCTTGGCACACTTTGGGCCCATTAGTACCAATTGAGCATTGTGCCAATGCCACAGCCTACCTGGGTACTGCTGCTGATTGTGTCCATCCCTTTATGATTACAGACTGGTTTCTTGAGTTCACTGTACTCAAATAGTCCCCACAGTCAAGGCCAGATTAAGAACACATCGGGCCTGAGGCTATAGTAAATCCACAATATATATATATATATATATATATATATATATATATATATATATATATATATATATATATATTTATATATATATATATATATATATTTTTTTTTTTATATATATATATATTTATATTTATATATATATATATATATATATATATATTGTAGTTGAGTTCTGTAACTTTTGAGTTACAGAAGGCTAGTATCCTTATTTTATTTATTTGCATCAGATATATTTTTCTGATGAAAGCCATCACTAATATTTCATTGCTCCATATTACTGACATTTTCATAAAAGGGGCAAAGTAAAAAAAAAATTTTTTTAAGTTTTAAAACATAACCGAGTGTATTTACATGAGATACACAGGCCTACTCTCCAGCAATGGACACTTTAATAACTGCTTATGTAGGCTATTTGATTTGTTCGCGCACTGTCTCGGTTATATTGTGCGATGAACGGATTGTGCGGGCACCCGCCGGTTTATTAAGTGCAGCTGTAACTGTTGCACTACCGAGACTGCTCTTCAGTTATGAGTCCATTCAACATGACGTCTATCCCAGCTTTTGTTACTACATGTGAAACTTAATCAAACATGAAGACTGAGTTTTATTTTTTGTTTTATGACCAGCTTGGTTAGTTTACCTTTGACTCGACAGTTCTTGCGGTAGTGCTGAAATAAGGGACTGTCCTGGGAAAATTAAGACATCTGATTACCCTTATGTGAAACTAAAACAGGGCTGTTCAATATTCTGATTGGGCTACAGCCACTCCGAGCTCCAGTAAAGCACCGGCGCACAGTTTTTGAACAGCAGCGAACCAAAATGAATACCTCACATCATCGATGAGAGAAAGCATAATACAAAGACGAATTTCCCTCGTCTTAGCGCAAAGTAATTCTTCAGCTAATCAAGGGCCCCTTCTTCCTTGGTTCCTGGGGCTTCAGCCCCACCTAGCCGTTATGTTAATCCAGCCCTGTCCACAGTCACCTGAGCTCAATCCAATAGATGGTGGAACAGGAGATTCGCATCATGGAGGTGCAGCGGACAAATCTGCCGTAACTGCGTGATGCTATCATGTCAATATGGTCCAAAATCTTTGAGGAATATTTCCTGTCCCTTGTTGAATCTATGCCACTAAGGATTAAGGCAGTTCTGAAGGCAAAAGGGGGTCTAACCAGGAAAAAAGTGGCCGGTGCAGGCGCGGACTGGCCATCTGACAATTCTAGCAAATGCCAGAAGGGCCGGACCATTTTTTAAATGTGGGCCGGTATGCTATTTTTTTTTAATAACATTTTTTATATGTATTGTATTTACATGCAGGCAACTTTTATCTCTTGCAAGATGTGAATATTATGATAATGATGATGATGATGATAATAATAATAATAATGATAATAAATGTTAAGCATTGGCCCAATCGGCAATAGCCGACTGGTTTCGAGATGGGCCGACCCAATCAGAGGTTACCTGGATGTAATCAAAATTTGGCGAGAATGTCAAACAAACAGTAAGTGCAACACAAGCTAATTGTCAGAGATGGACCGTAAAAAAAGGAAAGGCGGTGCTAAAAAGCCCAAAGAAAGCCAAAAATTGCTCTAAAATCAGACGCTGCCAAATGCATAAAATTAACTGAAATAGTTTCGTAAGGACAATGTCGACAGCAAGAAGGTCAATGGTTCAAACCTCGGCTGGGTCAATTGGTGTTTCTGTGTGGAGTTTGCATGTTCGCGTGGGTTTCCTCCTGGTTTCCCTTACAAGTCCAAACACATGTGCTATGGGTGAATTGGGTAGGCCTAATTGTCTGTGGTGCATGTATGTGAATGTGTGTGTATAGGGGTTTCCCAATGATGGGTTGCAGCTTGGAGGACATCCGCTGCATAAAAAATGGTACTGCTTACATTATTTCACCATCTATACAACAATATAAGTAGTGAATGTGCGTGTCCGTGGATGGGGCTGTGTCGGTGTGGTAATGTGGGCTGGTGTGGCTACAGTGCAGGGCTGATTTTTAGTCCCAGTCCGCCCCTGGGCCAGTGAGTGTATACAGCTCTGTTGTTTTAATATATTTAATTTGTAACAGTAAATGTTGATTTATATAGAATAAAAATATTAATGTAAAATATGTAAAATAGCTAAATCATTGCAAACTCCAACTGTAATGGTCTTCAACTTGCGCCATGTTTTATTTTAATGGTAGCAGAAAACTACTTCGTTTATGATGTTTGCTAGCCTATATTTACGACTTTGAAGTAATTACGTCAAAAGCAAATTTCTAGAGTTTTTAGCCCCATTTTATTCCCTGTTTCGGAAAGAAGCCTAGGTATTCTTGAGGCCAGTATATTTCTAGTAGCCTATTTGTACATCGGTGGTGTTGTAACAGTGAACTCTGCATGAGGGCGCAGTTGTGAGTCTGGGAAACTCCCTCAGTGACGGAGACTCGAGCTCCAGTGAGGGAGGAGAGAGACCGAGACACAGGGACACAGATGGAGCTGCATGTGCTTAGAATGCTTATTAGCTGAGACAATGTGCGAAAACATCTGAATATATCTGTTATTTTCTCGCTCGGCGACAGTTTGAGCTTTTTTTGTTGTGTTATATTTGGAAAGGGCACATATCGGTAAGTGGAGGATGACAGTAAGGTTATGTCTTTATTGAAGCGATAGGATGCTGAGGCATCGACAGGCGTATGGCTGAATTCAAGCAAGCTAGTCCGCCGTATGTTGATAAGAAAGGCCACTGTATGCGGTGTGAATGAAAGAAGAGGGCTTCTCTCTCGGATGGAGGTGTTTTAAGAGGTGTGGTGGAGGGATGAAGGCGGTGTTGACATCCAGACGGCAGCGGCTCTTCTATCGGCTCTTCATATGTGCTGTGGGGCTCATCGCCGTCACCTGCTTCGCTCAGATTCTCCATGTAACAGGTGCGTTTATTCCTTAATACTAGTCTACCCGCTCATCATACTGATGTGAATTTTGAGATTTTATTTGCCGGTACATTGTGTAGGCTAATGTGATAAATATTTCATTTTTCGTGGTTGAGGAGATGTGGTACATTTATAATTTATCATCTTGCATTTGTCATAATATGTTCCTGCTATGCAAGATGGATGTGTTTCAACACCAGATGAGTAGCAGTAATCGTGCTATCAGATAGACCTTAAGTGTACAAACAATGAGAAACAGAATTTAAACCGGAATAAAAATCATTTTAAAAAAGGTTCTCAAAAATGTATTATCCCAGCTATTTATTTTATTTATATGGTTCAATCACAAAAGAATTTCATGTCATTCAAGCAGAGGAAAAAAATAAATTCTTTTGAAGTTCAGTTTTGCTCTCACTGATTGATTAATGCACGACAAATTAAGTGTTTATGATATTTTTATAGACATTTAAATGTAGCATGAATATTGAAATATATATATATATATATATATATATATATATATATATATATATATATATATATATAAAAAAATAATAATGAATATCATAATTTACCTTTTCACACTTTTGTATTAGCCTGCCAAAATGTAAATTATGCTAATAGTTTGTTCTAGACTAGAGGAATCTCTTTAAGTAGCTTTCACATACTGAGAGAAATTCATTTGAATTAAAGAAATATGACAAAACCCTTTTTGAAATAGTTATTGGGCTATAAATGATTAATCCTTGTCATTAAAAATAATTGTCATTTTTATACATTATTTTTCCTGTCTACAATGTCATCTCTTCCAGAAGGAAGGTGGGTCCAAAAGTCTGAAATTTATGATAATAATAATAATTCCTTACATTTTGTACAGCGTTTTTCTAGACACTCAAAGTGCTTTACACATTGGGGGGAATGTCCTCATCCTCCACCAGTGTGCAGCATCCACCTAGGTGATGCGACGGCATTGGTGATTGGTGGAGAGAAGACAGAGTGATGAAGCCAATTATTTTATAGTTAGGAGGCCATGATGGACAGAAGCCAGTGGGCAAATTTGGGATTTTTAATGACCACAGAGAGTCAAGACCTCAGTTTAATGTCTGATCCAAAAGAAAGGGCTCAACTGAGCAGTATAGAGTCCCCAATTATATCCCCCAATTATAGGCCCCTGTTGGCCTCTCTAACACCACTTCTGGCAGTAACCTAGTTTTCCCATGTGGTCTCCCATTCAGGTACTGACCGGGCGCAGCCCTGCTTAGCTTTAGTGGGGGACCATGAGGGATTTTACCTTGACTATAGCCTTCATAAATAAACCTCAGCCGTCTCGATGATAACATTTAACTTAATATATAAATAATTTATTAATTAAAACATTTTCTGTAATTGAATAATAATGTAACAGGGTTATGGTGGTTGCACGTTTAAAGGCTTTAAAGATTAATTATTTCTTAATTATTAATTATTTAAGTCTTAAGCTAAATAATTGTTACAGATTATTCTGATCAAATTTATCCTTTGTAAACTGTTAGTTTGCATTTTTAAAGATTGAAGTACCACACACAGTGGAAGAAAATAGGCAACACAAAAATAAATGTCAAAAAAATTTTAATTATAAAAGATTTGTTATTGAAAAGAATCAAGTTGGAAGCATCAGTTTAATGTTAATTAAACAACACAATCTGCATCTCTCTGTCAATTCTAATAAATGCAATCTCACCACAATGCTTTTTCTTTGTGTCTGGTTTAAAGTGGACAGGAATAAAATAATAATCAGGAAAGTGTACAATCCTTACCTTTTCAGTCATGATAGATTGTTTCACAGAGTATACATTCTGCACAGGGCAATAATTCAAAAAGTGATTGTGAATTTAAAAGTGAAAGTAAAAGCATGCATATTTTCAAAAGTAATATCATACATGCAAATATAGCCTAAAATAGAGACATTTCATTGGATGTTGTGATTGATGAAGCATTGAACTGTGTTGACACAATAAACCTCCACATTTTGTGTGAAGCCTTTTGGTCTTAATCACGTTCCAAGCTTCTATACTTTCCCTCTTGTAACATTTGCCAGCACAAAATTGGGACACTCTGTCGCTCTCATGAGATCACAACAATAACAAACAAGTCCCTACCTTTATATTTTTGTATGAGAGGCCGAAAGACTGTCACAATTCCATTTCAAGTTGATTTTTTAAAATTATGACACTCCTAAAAAATCACTCAATAGTTGGCACTCAGGAACAGCTTGTGAGCAGCATCCTAATTAATCGATTTCTTCATGCTATTCGTTTGGAAGCATGAAGTGAAAGCCCAAAAACAGTAGTGGAGGTGCAGCAGCAGGGACTAACTGAGCTGCAGGGGTGGCAGACCATGGCAGGCACATAATTGGCTGTTTCTAAAGGGCATCACTGTGAACGCTGCTTCAGCCTGACATATTTCACAGTGACCGCTCAGATCCTCCAGAGCATTGTTACCTGGACATCACACCTGTGTCTCGGGTCTTCAGTATTACTCATCTTCAGAGGTTACAGGGTTGAATCAGCAAGGGTTGGAGTCTATTTTATCTAATACAATTTTTAGAGACTCAAACATTTAGCTGTAAATTAAAATGGAGCAGTTAAATGGATGGTTGGTTCATCTAAAAGTTAAGATTGTTCCAAAACATTATACCTTTCTCTCTCCTGTTAAACGCATTTATTTTAAGCACAGGTACTTCAGAATGACTTCTTTTGTGTTTAACAAAAAAATAAAAATAGGGCTGCGTCCAAAATCGCCTACTACATTTGAATTTGAATTTATTACTAGTGTAACCCCACCGCTCCTACGCCACCCAACCCGCTTCGAGCTGGGATTGAACTGGCGTCCTTCCGCATGGGAGTCGGTTGCTCTACCAAGGAGGCTAAAGACCATGGCCTCTAGCATCTGTCGCTAGAGCACTTTTAGAGGTCAGAGGAGGGAGGTTTACCTGCACAGCACACATTAGCTGGCCTTCGTTACACTCACCCCCCTAAACCTCACTCCCATCCGGGTCACGGCACCAATGTAACCCTGCCTGTCCTACGCCACCCAACCCGCTCCGAGCTGGGATCGATCCGCCGACCTTCCGCATGGGAGTCGTTCGCTCTACCAAGGAGGCTAAAGACCATGGCCTCTAGTGTCTGTCGCTAGAGCACCTTTAGAGGTCAGAGGTTTACCTGCACAGCACACACTAGCTGGCCTCCGTTACACCAGGGCGATAGAAAAGTATGTTCTATGCAGTATGAATGTGAGTAATATAAATGGAACTTGGCATACTACATCTATCATTTTGTCATTATCACGTGACCTACCTTCATCAGTTTCACTTCCATTCATGAATTCCCTCATGAAGTGTTATGGGATATTGTAGTGTTCATCATATTCGCACACTACATTTGATAGATGAATGAATAGTATGTATATGTGGATAGATAGATAGATAGATAGATAGATAGATAGATAGATAGACAGACAGACAGACAGACAGATAGACAGATAGATAGATAGATAGATAGATAGATAGATAGATAGATAGATAGATAGATAGATAGATAGATAGATAGATAGATAGATAGATAGATAGATAGATAGATAGATATACAGTATGCATGGGTAGTATATATGGATGGATGGAGAGACAGGCAGACAGACGGATAGATGGATGGATGAATAGTTAAATATGTGCATGGGTAGTATATATGGATGGACAAATATGTGCATGGGTAGAACAGATTATATGGATGGATATATGGATGGATGAATAGACAGATTAACAGATGGATGGATGGATATATATGTGTATGGGTAGTATATGTGGATAAATGGATAGATGTATGGTATAGCTGGATGAATGGATAGATGGATGGATAGATAGATGGATGGATGGATGGATGGATGGATGGATAGATGTAAAATATGATTATAAAAGGAATAGTAAATGTAAATTAACTCATCACCTTCTTGGTAACGTCGTCAATGTCATTGGGTCACCATTTTCTTTTTTGTACTATTTGCCATCGTAGGTCTAGTGAATTGATAATTGTAAACAAACAAAAAAAAAACATTTTAATTCCATCTAAAAATATGATGTTTTAAAAGATACAAATATACTACAAAAAATACATAGAAGCTGTTTAGGATTGAATAAATGGAGTATAACACCTCAGGACATGTCAGCTACCCAATGAGCTGCACCAGAGCTGACATTTCAACACCCTGTCGAAAAGCACAAGCTGATGCTGACAGAGATGAGGTGGAAAAAACTGCTAAATGTGACCTGCTTCTGGGTTGTCATTCCCCTTTGTTGCTTATTATTTGATTTCTTCACGGTGCCTTTATCTTTTATAGCTTTGTCTGAGTGAGTAATGAGTTCCTCTGGGAGGTCGAGTCTGAATGTTAAGCAGCGCCTAAAACAGCAGCTCTGGAATCGGCAACTGAATGAAACAAATGTGAATTTTTAGAAACTGGAGCTGCACTTTAATAATAGACGACAACATAACCATGTCAAGCACAGTGCCTGTGGAGACGAGGATCCATGGTTATGTCAAAAAACAGAGAAACCTAATACGATGATTACCACCAAGAACTATACAAATAAATAAATATGCAACTTAGAATTGAAATGAAAATCGAATCATATTGAAAGATATTTACTGTGTTGCCATGTTGTTATGCATCAGTCATGCTCAATTTTAGTATTACTACCGAGCTATTGTCTTAATGTAATATTTGTAAGTAGGGATGGGTACCGAAACTCTGTACTCATTTTAAAAGATCGAAGTATTGATAAACTCTGACGTTAAAAGTTTTGCTATCGATACTGGAGAATTATTGCTGTATACACATTACTAATAGTAGCATAATTTAACTGACCAACCTTTTTTCATTTGCAATATTTGATATTCATCTGCACAGATGGTAATCTTACATGAGAAATGTTCGAGTTTCCGGCGAGCACATAAAGTTTAAAAGCCTTCACAGTTCTTGGCTGTGTGCGCACTCAGTGGAGGCTCGCGCTAAACGCACTCACATAGCTCACGACACAGACTCGCGCGCGCACAGAGGTTGTATTTTCAGAGTGGACAGCGACAATGCCTGTTGCAACAAACGCTACAAATAGTTTTTTTGTATAAGCAGAAACGCAAGCAATCTGGCTAAGTGAAAGTATCTTTCAAAAGTGCATTTATTGCAGAAAGATAAATAAAAAGTTTTTGACTGCCTAGTGGTAATCTTACATCATCCACACCATTGTCAGCAGTCAATCACCTAAATTAGTATAATAATTAAATAAACACACATTCGGTTATAATGAAAACAGTATTTTTTCTGCAGTAGCCTAAATAAATGGTAAACATTAAACATGCTTTTACATCTGCTGTATTTACAAATATAGCCTATGAATAGCTTAATAATAAACTATGCTTATTAAGAAAGCTTATTTTTACATTGCAAGATGTTCCGAAACTGTGAATGTGAATGTGTTAATGAAAAATCATAAACATTATCTTATTTAACTGCATTTTGTAACTCAAAGATGGTATTTTCAACTGCAGGGAGCGGAATAAACCAAGAAAGATCACAACTTCTGGCAGAAAAGGCAAACATGTTGATTTTTTTTCAAGAAAAAGATTTTTCTCTGCATTCTTTAAAAGGAAAAAAAAATATTTATTTGTTTTATAATTATTGGTTTTGTTTTATTTTACATTAAAAACATAATAATAAAAAAAGTGTTGTTAATTCTGTTCAATTTGTTTTTTTGTTAAAAAACACTTCAAAAAGTACCATTAAGAGAACCGTTACAGTACCGAACCGACATTAAAAACTTCACTACACCCATCCCTATTTGAAAGCAAATAGTCTATTGCAGTTATATTTGGAACTGATTACTTTGCATATGCAAATGAGAACTATCTTTGTCATTTAGTTCTTGAGTGAAACCACACCCTCTCCAGGCTCTGATCCAGTTCCACACCACTCATTAATCACTGCTTTTGGATCTGGTTTCCATGGTGACTTGAGAGGTTGGGAGGAAGCATTCTGATTGCCTCAATCATTCAACTATTTTTAAATGAGTTGGTGTTGAGGTTGCACACAGCAGGTCAAAAATCCTGGAAAAAAAAGAGGGGAAAAGGAAAGTAGAGGTAGTAGGGGTTATAAACCTTTTTGAGTTTCTTACTTCTGTTAAAAGCAAAAGAGGAAATTTTGAAAAAAAAGCTGAAAACATTTAATCACTGACTTCCATAGTAAAAACACATACTATGGTAGTCAGTGTTTACAGGATTTCAGCTTTCTCCAAAATATCTTCTTTTGCTGTAATCAGAAGAAAGAAACTCAAACAGGTTTGGAACAAGTGAGGGAGAGTGAGAGATGACAGATATTTAAATTTTGTGTAAACTATCTCTTTAAAATATTAAGCAGCACTGTTTAAAATAGGAAACTATTCTTTTTTTGATTTATAATATTTCCCAATATTTTTGTTCAAATAAATGCAGCCTAAGAGACTTCCTAAAAAAATAATAGAAATCTTAATATAATCTTAATCTTACATTTTTGGTCTTTCTCATGAATCACATGAATGTTGCCCATAAAGTCAAAAACAAGTGAAAAAGCAGTCAGAAAGGAATAAAATGATTATTGTCATTTCTGTAATAGTAATTTTAATTAATAGCAAATTCTTCATTTTGTAAATTTTGAGTTTAAGCATCTTGTTGCTTTTGTAAAAAAAAAAGTACATCACCGTCTTTCTCAGAGCAAATATTTAAAGAGCCCCTATTATGCATTAAAAAAGCTCATATTATGGTTTTGGTGGGTCTCCAACAACAGGCTGATATGCATGCAAGGTCAAATATCCCAATGACTCCCATATGATTTGTTCAACATGATGCTAATCTGAGTTGATTGGTCCGATGACCCAGTCTGTTGCGATTGGTCGACTGCGTTCAGCGCAAGACAGAGATGCCCACTACGGTTTATCAAAAATTTTGAAGTAGTCAGAGTGCAGAGTGCGAGTGTATTTGTGAGCCCAATGCAGGATTGCATTAAAACAATGCAGTTGAACACCAGCATATTGCTTTATTCTTAACCACGACACACACATTCAGTATTAATCCACAAAATGGCAAAAGCTGAACTATTTTGAAACTTGACCGCCACACGTGTGTAGGAACAGCTGATGGTGGTCTTAGCAACCACAAACCGCAGAGGATCACAAGCTCACAAATGCATTTAAATCAAATCTGTAAACAAAGCGGCATGCATTGCATTTTAAAGTGGTTAGAGTGGTTACAAGTAACAAAACAATTAAATACTTATTTTGCAAGCTAGAGAAAACAATAAGGCAATCATTTTAATCACACTTAAGTTACTTACACTTGTGAAACGAAACCATGAACTGTGTACTGAAAAGGTTCCTGTAAAGCTCTGATAAAAGTCCCATAAATCAATAGTATTTTCTGATCCTTCCTTTAACAAACAGCCGACAAATACCCCGTTGTAAGCATGTAGATAGCTGAAGCACTTGTCAGAAAAATGACGGGAACACGGCACAAGGCTGGGGCTGTAATGCTGAGGTATTTTTGCCTCATCTTTAGGTAAAGAAAGTAACACTAACTTTCCCACACATTTCAGAGGACAGCCTCTTCGCAACATGATTCAACTGGAATCTGCTACAGTGTTTGGCTTCCTCTTTTTCTTTCTACAGTGTTTGTGGGCGGGGCCGAGGGTTTCAATTTTCCTGGGTCTGTGGGCGCAACAATTGGGCGGGGCTTGAGTTCCGTATAGACGTCACACCGACACGGCTAAATATTCGTTACCCCGACGATTAATTTGAACCACTGAGTCGACTCTTTTATAGATGATTCAATATTTTTAAACATGACACACTGTCAGTTTTAAGCCTTAGCTGGATATTTCTATTCACTTAGAGCTGTGTTACACACTGCATGGAAGGTAATTTTCAAAAAACCCATAATAGGGGCTCTTTAAATGCTGCTATCATCAATAATAATATAAACTTGCTAACTTCTAAATAGGACTTCAATTCCCATTGAATGTAAAATAAACAACAAGCCATTCTAATATATGCTCACTATGGCCAAAAACTATTATAGTAATATTTATATCCATACTGAAATATTAATCAATCAATCAATCAATCAATCAGTCAGTCAGTCAGTCAGTCAGTCAGTCCATCAATCAATCAATCAATCAATCAATCAATCAATCAATCAATCAATCAATCAATCAATCAATCAATCAATCAATCAATCAATCAATCAATCAATCAATCAATCAATCACTCAATCAATCAATCAATCAATCAATCAATTAATCATTAAGCTCTGGTACTGTAAACTAGTACTGTGTCCAATAAATTGCAGTTGATGTAGTATTCTCAGCTTGATGACATACTGTAACATCTGTAGTTTAGTTAAAGGGCATCTATAATGCAAAATCTTTGGACAGAAATGTGCGCAGGAATAGTGTGTACTATAACATTCATGTCGTTTCAAATTGTATGATTTTCTTTCAAATTTATTTTGTTATTTTGAAGGTGTTGGTAACCAAATCGTTTTTTTTTTTTGAGCTACAATAACATTCTGTTAATATTTCCAAATATCAAAAATAAAGTGCCTGTACTAGCATAAAAGTGCATGTGTATTAATGTCTGTGTTGAATAAAATAAAGTGTTTGAATGCCTATAGCTAGCGAGCAAGAGATCTAGCCCTTTTTACAGTAATTTGCTGTAATCATACTGCCTGCCTTAATTTTACAATACAATTCTCAAAACAACACATTACTGTGAATTTCACCGTTATACCTGTAAAGTGATACTAATGTAATTTACTGTGAAAACTTACGGTAACTGTAAATGAAATATTTACAGTGCAGCTATAGCAGAGTGATCCTTTAAAATTACACCATTGTCTGCGGGAGTTGCCTCCGGGTGCTTCAGTTTCCCCCACAGTCCAAAGACATGTGGTATAGGTGAATTGAATAAACTAAATTGTTCATAGTGTGTGAACGAGAGAGTGTGTGGGTGTTTCCCAGCACTGACGGTTGTACTGATAGAGCCGAGTTGCAGCTGGAAGGGCATTCGCGGTGTAAAACAATTGCCAGAAAAATTGTCAGCTCATTCCGCTGAACAATAATGTGTTGTGCACTGTTACAGAACATTCCAAAGAAGAATCGGACCAGAACTGGGCTCGGCGTAAACTAACCCAGCAGATAATAGAGGAGAACCAGACATCCAGTACACCCAGAGCTGGTGAGTGACTCTTTCTCTGTCTCTATGAATCACATTCGTCTATATCTCGCTATCTCCCCCCGCGCCTCCTCGTTCAGTGAAATGATGCAGACAGGTGTCCTCTTCATAGCCGAGCCCCCTTTGAGGCTTGTGTTACCAAGCAACGGAATCCCTAATTTCAGAACAGAGAATAGTCTGTTTTAAGCATTCAAAGTGTGCTACTTTAGAGAGATACGTCATATGGCCTTTTTATCAACTGCGCAAATTAGTCATCAACAGAGGTGTTTCACAGCAGCGCTATGAACTGCATTTTTTCAATTAAATTTTATAATGTTCTCTGAACTCTCTCAATTACATAAATATACAATGTATTATCTTAAATATATGTAAAGCAAGATAGAGTCAGTTAGTTATTTTCAATCCTGTTTTTTAACCTCCTTAAAATGCACCACACTGAATAAAATTATTACTACTGCTTGTTCAAACTACCTGTTTAAAAAATGAGATGAAACAGCACAATTCTTGTCTTTTCTTTGGCCAATTCTTTTGTTTTATGTTCACTCACATTTGTTAACATAAGTGTTTTGTGTTGGGACAACATGAAGCAATTGTGTAGGTCCAACTACCTGGTTAGGTGATTTGTAGTTCCCAACATGCTTTGCGTGGCATTGAATTAAGAGAGAGAAATGTTGACAATAAAGGTAATCTTAGGTGTTTAAAGTAAATAGGAAGACTTGTTAGAGTTTAATCTTCAATTTTGTTTGAAGATTTAGAAGAGTTTCATGTAATGTTTTGAGTTTTGCACCTTGAAGAAGCAGCCATGCTTTAGGTGTTGGCAGCTTAATTAGCATGGATGCAGTTTGTTGCTTTGCTCGGTGAGAAATAACTGTGCTAAATTAATTCTGAAATCAGTCTCAATCAACTGAATTTGCATCTCATAAAATATGCTTATTTCTCTTTTAGTTCATTTGGGATAACTTCAAATAAAACTAATAAACTTTGTAATGTAGAACACATAATAGATGTACATGATATTATCAGACCTTTGAGTTTAAGTTAAGTAAAAATACAAATGTATTTACAATTTAATTTGATAAAATCATGTTGGACCAACTCAACTGCATTTAATTGTGTAAATGTTTTTAGTTGGTGTAAAAAATTTATTGGATGGAAATCCTGCCTTCAATTAAATTGAGTTCATCCAATGAGTTATTTTGAGTGTACTTTTATAGACATTCCTCATTTGAGACTTAGAAGTAAAAGTTTTGCATATTAAAATGATATACTCAAAAAAGATGTTTGCTGCTTGTTTAAACTATTTAAAATGAGCTAAAACAAAACTATTCCGGAAATTTTTGGGTGAAACGTAGTTGTTTTATATTCAATATACTTAAAATAGATGCTGTAACTTAATGGATTTGTATTGGGTCAACTTGAATGAATTGTGTGGAACTCTGCACTTTTTACAGTATATATGGAAGCTGCTGTTATCCGTCTAAAAACAACATGGGGCATTTTGATTAAAAAATATAGACCACGTTTACACTAGTGCGTTTTAGTTTTAAAACGGCGTTTTAGAATGAAAACGATCCGCGTCCACACTCGCGGTTTACCCAGCGTTTCTGAACTGCTATCCGTCCACACCAAAATGCTGAAAACGCACATCACGTGACCACACACACACACACTTTGGCAAGCGCTGCAGCCCATCTACCCAGATGAGAGCTCTGCTAGTCGGACTTCTCATCAAGCATCTCCCGCTGGATCTAACCTAATTATATTTATTAAACGTGATATTTCATTCATCTTGTTGTCTTTATCTAACGACATATTCCCTGACTTTGGTCATTGGAATCTATTACTTGTTCAATGTGTTTTGGCTGAGCGCAAAGATAAGTTAATGAATAATGTAACCAAGTAGCCTACATTCTGTATATTGACTGATCGCTTGCCTTTATTTCCTATAATGTATAAACTTATTGCATGTTATACTTTTATAATGGCCATTATCGATTATTAAAACTGATATTCAGCAAAAGAGAGGCTGTGTTTCGTATTTTCACTGAAATTGAAAGGAGATAGTTGTTATTGGCTCCGTTTTGTTATAAATATCCACACAGTGAAGATGATGCTCATTATGCTGCACGACGCCTCAACATGTCTGCAGTCTAAATTGCTAATATTAAAATGAAAATAGGCACTTCCTTATATCATGTTTACATTTTATTGTTGAGAAAGTGAACAACGTAGCCAGGGTGATGTAAATGAAGTTATAAAGTACACTGTTCCCTTTGAAGATTGACGCGTGTCCTCTGTATAGTCTGTTTTCCATATCAAACTGAGAAGAAGAGACTGCAGCCTTGATCAAACTTGCGAAGTCTGAACTTACACGGAGAAGATTCAGGACTGAATTGTGTGTGTTAGGCTATTTAATATTGAGGAAAAGCCCCAATCAGAGAGGCGAATGTCTGCAGCCCCGCCTCCGTTTTCAGATGTCTCCGTTTTCCATCATCCACACTGAGACGGAGCAGCAGCGTGTCAGAATGAAAACGGCCTCTCCAGCGTTTTTGAAACGCTCCGTTTTCGGCGCTCGAGAACTCCGGCGTAGTGTGGACGGATGGCGTAACCGTAGCAAAACTTATGCGTTTTCAAACTAAAACGCATTAGTGTAAACGGGGCCTAACTCTATTTAACCGATTGTATTTTAATTACATTACAACATCAGTGCTGTTAAAGGAACCTCATGAAATTAAAAATAGCACCAGAAGTTTATCTTTGGCTGAAAAACACTAGCTGTGCAATATGCCACATTCATGGACATTTTAAATGACATCAAATCATATAAGATTACATTTTGGTCATGACATTGCGATTGAAAGTAAATGTTTTTCACATATCATAGGGATAATCTGAAGTGATTAAAATTTTGATTAAGTTTTTAATATGTACATATTATTATTTCTTACATATCAATACTCATTAGTAAACATATAAAAACTGATAACTTGGGTATTATGTAACTAGTATAGGCTGAGCAGCAGATCACTTGTGGAGGACAAATGCAATCAAATGTAATGCTCTAAAAGCCCTTAAAACCCTTTAATTATTCATAAATCCTTCTGATTTATGAAATTCAATAAGGGAGCCCTTAGTAAATTCAATCTGGGTGATACTGAGCAGCTGCTGGTCCCAGCTATGCATTGTGATAACAGATATAATAGCATTGCTCAGAATAATTAAGACATATTCCCCTGTTACATCTGGCATATTATCTAGTAAAACTGCATTCAAAAGAAATGCTGTACATTCTTTAAAATAATAGCTCCATGAAGAATAGGGGTGTCACGATTTTGATTTTTAATCGAAATCGATCGAAATTTATGCTCAACTTCGATTATCGAATCAAAAAATAGAATCGTCGATGCTGCCACGCTCCCATGTCACGTTAGCTTGGCTTGCCAAGTGGGAAAAAAACAGGCTTGTTGAAGTGCTTGTTAAACTGCAGACGCAGGAGACCCATTGACAGAGCTTAAATCCTCTCCTCTTTCAAAGTAGTCGCCGGTGTGGAAGTATTTTGGAATTCCAGTTAGTTATGTTGACAACGTTCGTGTTGTCGACAAAAAAAACACAGTTTGCAAGCTCTGCTATGTACGTATTACGGTTTGGATGATAGACGATGAGCGCATCGCGATTCTCCGCCCCGCACCCGTTGCAAATCCGCTTGTGAAAAATACACACTCAAGCCCTGTTTACACTAATATGTCTTTGTTTTTAAATGCCATTTTAGAACGACAACGATCCACATCCACACTGGCGTGTAGCATTTCTGAGCAACCCTCCTTCCTCTCTACCGCTGAAAACGCACATCACGTGACCATGATACACACAGATACAGACGCACACACATTGTCATGCGCTCAAGACAGCGGGTCAAAGCAGTCAGCGAGTCAGTAGACTGCTTCCATCTTTTACTTTCACACAAGTATTTAGTCATTTTAGCGAACACCTCAGATACTGTTGGCTGGTTTCTGTTGGTTGTGCACCTTTTTTACCGACGCCATTATAACGACACAGATCACTGCCTATTCATGAGTTCCGCAGAAAAAAGTGATTGACAGGTAGTAATTATGTGTGTAACTTACCTTTAATTATTTACTGTATGATTTGTTTATAGTTAAAACAAAGACCATGCAAGTCAGGTAGTTTAAACGGTAGGCTACTAATAATTAATTCGTTATTAATTAATTAATTATTCATAATCGAAAATCGAATCGAATCGTGACTTTAGAATCAAAAATGTAATCGAATCGAGGATTTGGAGGATCGTGACACCCTTAATGAAGAACCTATAATACCCATGCAACCTTTTCATTCCAGAAAACTCTTTTTAATATATATTTCAGATATACAGTAAATTGTTCTTTCAGTTCGTTGACTGAAAGATCTGAATTTTATGGAATCTGCAAAAACCCTCTTTTAGAAACCATTTGAAAGAGTGTATGCAGCAAATTAGATACAAAATCTGTATTATTTTTATACGATAAGTTTAAACAGAAAAGCTGTGGTCATTATTAATCCATGCATTTAAAGGAGTGTCACTTCCTCCCCTGTCTTTTTATTTCAGGGCTGTTTATTAGACAGATGGCCTCTTTAAGGCAGTCAGAATAAGAACAGTCTTCACGCTGATTGCATCTCAAGAAGCTCAAGTATTACCAGTCCTCTGATTTAACTGGGCGCACTCTTCCTGGCCTCTCTGCACTATTACAGATTAGCTAAAAGGCTGGTCAATTCAATTGCCACTTAGTTACCAAAGACAAAAGCTTCTTAACAACCTCAAGTTAAATGGAGCACATTCTCTTGATAAGGCCGACATCAATGAAGTGAGAAAGCAGAACACTAACTAGCTAGTCTTTTCACAGATTAAAAAACATTTTCTACTCTGTTTTATTTTATCCAATCATCTGTTGTTTTCCTTTGAGTTTATGGCTACCATCAGTGCTTAACATTAACTTTTTTGATCATCAACCACTGCGGCTAGTAGTTTTGCAACATTACTAGCAACTCGCCATTTTTACTAGCCACAATTTTGTTGTTGGGAAAATATATTTAATATGCATAAAATTTGACTGTGGCATGCGTAAAATACTTGATTTACATTTTTGTTACATTCACCTGCCTCCTTATTCTTTCACTTTTTTGTGTTGTGTATGATTATCCTCAATGAGTATGTTTACATGGACACCAATAATCCAATTTTAATATGATCAAGACAATACTCTGATGAAAAGTCTACCATGTAAACAGCAATTTTTGATTAATTAAATCGGATTAAGGTCATAATTGAACTAAACAGTAATTAGATTAAGACGTGGAGTATATTGATTTTACCCAAATTATTGAAGTGCGGTACAGACATTTAAACACCTTAATCAAGCTATTACCATTGTGTAGGTTTTTTGCCACATTTTGCGACAGGATACACACATGGTTGTTTGACACTATTTTCTGCACAGTGTAGGACCACAGACACCTGCATCGCGAAATGCAGTTTTTTCCATACGGCGTGCGGTATCAAAATCCATTAAAACAACACTCTTTCAGCAGTTCATACTCGCATCCAATATCTCACTTGTCACAGGGCATGCATGAAATGTTCCTGAATGAATGTGAAAGTGCCAAACTGCAGTTAAAGTCAACAAATTAAAAATGAAACAACCAAAATTACGTCAAACTCCAGAGGAAACATGGATAGCGTGTTGACGCGATGACGTTAATTGAATAATGTGCTATATCATGTAAAACGGGATCATTCAAAAAGCAACTCATGTAAACACCTTAATCATATTATTGTCCATGGTTTCTGCTACATTCATTCTTCCATGGCGGGACGCCACACCAAAATTCATCCTGCCACAGCTACAATACAGCTTCTCATTCAAAACATCTTATTTTTTTTAATAGCGGGTAATAATCGTACCAAACATATTAAAGGGTAAGTGAATTATAACAGTGCAAACTTTTCTGTAACCGTAGTAGTGCTGCGTGTCATTTGCTTATCGCTTTAAGGTTACGTGCTGACTGGCTGACTGACAGGTGCGTGAGGCCAGCAAACACGACGTATAGCAGTTTCATTTTAGTTCAGGACGCATTAATACCGCTCTGTAGGTCTATTGGAGACATTCATAAATATTCCTAGCAAATCTAATAAATGCTGGAGACATACTCGTTACATAAACGCACTAAATCACACTTCAGCAGCATTTATTTGAGAGCGCACAAGAAGATCTGCGCACTCTTGAAGAGGCTTATATTTGAGGGGGCGTGCAAGAAGTTTTGTGCACGAGCAGAAGAAATCAGCGCGCAAGCAAAGAGATCAGCATGCTTGTAGGCTGTTACATAAATGCGACCTCAACTTCTAATACTGCGCTGACGACATTTATCATTGAAATAACGTCACAGGTAGTTGGTAGATCTGTGTAAAAAAAAGGCCTGCCGCCACAGCTGGAAAAAATCCTAGAGGAAACACTGTTGTCTTATTTATATTAAGGCTAATAAATTGAATACTAATGTCTATGTAAACGTAGCCAATGGGCATGAGCAAATGGGTTGTGGTTTCACAGTGTCGCATTGCAACTAGTTTTATTTCACAGAAACTTTCAGGGCTCAACACTAAGCATTTACCTAATTTTTCTCTAGCCAAACCAAAAATAAATAAAAAAATCTTAGCCCAAAATAACTGTAAGCAAAAAAAATCAGGTCAAAAATATACCATGTGCGATAATGAAAGGATAATCATGTGAAAGGTTAAAGTGAAAGCAACCTGCTGCTTACAAAAATACTTTTTTAAAGTCGGCAGGACTGTGGGTGCACAAGTGTTACTTTTTGTCCAGTCTATTCAAAAGAAAACCAGATACTCTACGCTTCCAGACATGGATGCTTCGCGCAATGAACCATTTCTTTTTGAAACTTTTAAATACTTGTGCACATTACATCACCTAAAAATCAGCCTTGACACTAAAGCTCTCGTCAGTGCGTAAGGATGGCTTGTATCATTGTGCGCGTGATCATCCTTTCATTTGGTATTCACCTGCTTTCTTTTGCTGATGCGAAAACCGTAAAAACTACAAACTACAATTCAAAAAATGATCTTTAATCAGACAAAGTGGCTAGTGGGAGTGGCTAGTGTTTACCACAAAATAGCTGAAATCTACCCGCATTTGGCAGTTTGGCAGGTGGTAATGTTAAGCCCTGGTTACCACACCTAAAGACATTGTTTAGATGGGTTTTGTCTGCTATGTGTGGGACTAGATTCTTACACATCTTATCTTTAAAAAAAAAATTAAAAATTAGATTTAATTTTTTTGACTGGCGACATGGGGGCGCAGTGCCACTCAGCATAAAGGTCACTGGTTCGAGTTGGCATTTTTGTGTGGAGTTTGCATGCTCTACCCGTGTTGGAGTGGGGGTTTCCTCCAGGTGCTCTGGTTTCCCCCACAATCGAATCGCAATCACAATTTAAAATGTTGCAATTAGCTAATCACAAGAGGCCGTGATATGTGTGTATATTATTTAATTTCCCCCGCCCAGAGCAAATGCATGATTGCCGTCTGTGTGTGACAGCCTTACTAGCCAATAGAGGGAGCACACTTCCATTCTGCCAATTAGAATTGCTCAATGCCCACAATAAAACAAACAAACAAACAAGAAACTGCGGACTAGTGGCATGATGGGCACTGCCGCTTCAAAAGCATTAATAGACTATATCATATCAAAGAAAAACAGCACATAGGTAAAATAGGAATATTTTGGTTTCAAAGTCACAGACATCGAAAAACAGGTAATTTGTAAAAGCTGTTGCAGAAATGTTGCCATAGCACAAGGAAGTACAACAACCAGCACCTAAAAAAGCACCACAGGCGGCTATATGAGGAGTGTCTTGCTAAAAGTATTGCCAGTGATACTCAATTTAGTAGCTAGCAATAGCAAAGCATTATTTCCGAATTGTTTGTGGCTGTTACACCATATGAAAATACATCACAAGGGCACCAGGAGATAATAAATAGATAAATAATCCCATAACTCACTCCTGTTTGCTCTAGAGAATAATGAGTGTTTCATTTCTAAATATTTAGAAACAAATTTGAATAAAAGTTGGAGTTTGTTAATATCTTTTCAGCACCATTTTATAACTTATCCTGACTTCATTTTAGTAGTAAGAAGCTATGATATGGATTATTGAGCTGAAGCTTGTCTACAAAATTCAAATTAAAATCGCTATATCTTTAAAAAAAAAATTGCAATTAGATATTTTCCCTCTAAATCGCACAGCTCTAATTTGAATCAGCTAATCTGAATTAATGATTCAGTAGCCCTGTCGCCTAACCATGTTAACCTATTTTTATTCAATTTAATGACCATCATGAGAACTCTTTAGTGTAAAATGAGTTTATATAGCCACTGCACTGTCAGACTGTCAAAACCTTTTCCTTCTGACCTTTAACACAAGTGCTAATGTGCGATATGTGAAGCAGCACTTTCATTTCAGACCAAGGCTGTGAAGCTAGTGTTTGAAAGGGTTTCCAAATATTTTGAGCCTTGCTTTATAGATTGCATTGTTTCTCTATGCTAAATTCCTACTGGTGTTTTATTTTTACTTGTGTGCTCATTGTCAAATATTTTCCACACAGCTATCCATGAATTTCCACAGGACATCTTCACTAAGGGACAGAGGAGGCATGGGGCCATTCTACTGCATGTGTTTTGTGTAAGTGTCGAACACTGTTGTAATAAAGCTTTAAGTTGTATTTATATTTAATTAAAGGTTTAATGTCGGAATTTGTGGTGGGAAAAACAAAAACGCTTTTATTCAGCAATTGATAAGAAGTGACTGTGAAGACGTTTACAATGTTCCCAGAGAGATTGATTTCATTTTGTTTCTGTGGATTTTTGACATCTTTATAATTAAAGATAAAAAGACATTTCAGTTGATCATTTTGTGAGCACCAAATTGCAATACTAAAGACTGGAGCAATGCTGCTAACAATTCTGCTTTAAACAACAGGAATAAATTACATTTTGAAATGTATAAACATGAAACAGATAATTGAATTTGTTACAATATTTCAGAATATTAATGTTTGTACTGTATTACTGATCAAATAATTGCAGTATGAGTGAGCAGAAGAGCAAAACGATTAAAAAATACAATCAATAATCAGCAAAGTGTGTTTCCATTTGTATTTTTTTTAGTTTCAGGTTTTAACAGAAGTTTTAAATTTTACTTGAATACTAGTTTTACTTGTAAACTGTAAGAAACATTTGTAAAAAAAATGTAATACCAACTACTGATGTATTGATCTTTGTTATACATTGACAACACCTAAAATCAGGAAGTGAACATTAATTTAGCAGCATAAGATGTACAGTAACATAAATCCTTAAAGGTCACATGAAGTGCTTTAAAATGTGCATTTTTATTCGATGTTTGACGTAGTTTCAACTGAAAAATGAAGAGAGGGTAAGACTTAGCTCCTCCCCTTAAAAAACAGCCATTAGCGTTTTGTTTTACAGCTCTCCTAGTGAGACGGGTTGATCTCAAGGGCATCAAATGAAAAGCAAATGAGTTGTGTCTTAAAGGTGGTGGGGCATGTCAGATACTAGAGAGCATTTGTTTGGTCAAGATTTGATGAGAAACTGAAGTATGAGGTGACGTGAAAAAACCTTTGATCCATTTAAGCAGAGGTTCCAAAATAAAAGTCTAGGTGTGAAAGCACCCTAAGATCTAAATAAAGTTATAATAATTTCACTGGACCTTTAATTTAGGAAAAATGAGAAAAAAAATCTATTAAAAAATCCAATATGAATAATTTTCAATGTATATAGTAAGGAAACTTACTATTTAACAAGTTTTATTGTAGCACTTTTACAGTATTTTACTGGTAAAATGAAGGTCATTTTTTCACACTGTTTGCGTAATTTCTATGACTATTTTTATGAAAATTATTTGTATACCAACTTGTTTAAGTGTATTTTTAAAATAAATAAATACTGTATATTTGTTCTTTAAAGGAATGCATAGCACAATTCAAAACAATAGCTAAAAATGAAAGCCTCTATTCCTGTTACCGAATCTTTACTGTCTTTTGTCTGCTCTTCCACAGGCGGTTTATATGTTCTACGCCCTTGCTATTGTCTGCGATGTCTTCTTTGTCCCCTCTCTGGAAAAAATCTGTGAGGTAAGTGTAGATTGTGCTGATAATAACCCTCAATAGTACTGTAGAAAAATCAGAGCACATTCTGACCTGGAGTTTGTATCTTCAGAATCTGCACCTCAGTGAAGATGTTGCCGGTGCCACCTTTATGGCAGCGGGAAGCTCCGCCCCTGAGCTTTTCACATCGTTGATTGGTCAGTGACATCTAGCAATGCTTTTCAATAAATCTTACTTTATAAATAAGTCACTGATAAACAGTCATCTCTTCATATCAGGCGTCTTCATCACCAAGGGAGATCTGGGTGTAGGAACTATCGTGGGATCTGCTGTCTTCAACATCCTGGTCATCATCGGAGTTTGTGGGATATTTGCTGGACAGGTAGTACAGTACATCGGTATTTAAAACAATAAATGTGAGACTATTAAACTGCTAAATATGAATCGCTTCACAGACCATCACTTTGACCTGGTGGCCGCTCTTCCGGGACTCTATTTTCTACATCCTCTCTGTGCTGGCATTGATTCTGGTAAGCAGGACTGTCGTTTTTCAGGTTCTGTTTGTGTTTTACATTTGTACTCACACTAAATTGAGGCCATTTTGTGTTTGTTTGTGTGTATTTCAGATCATATATGATGAAAAAGTAATCTGGTGAGTGTGGCTGAGAAGCTGTAACAATAATTATTTACATTTTAGTGAAGCGTGCCATTTTTCATATAACATCACTGTTGCAGGTGGGAGACTATAATCCTCATATCGATGTATGGAGTTTACATCCTTATCATGAAGTGAGTATTTAATTTTTTGTAACATTATTTAACTCATTCATTCATTTTCTTTTTGATTAGTCTCTTTATTAATCCAGGGTCACCACAGTGGAATGAACCGCTTATCCAGCACGTTTTTAGGCAGCAGATGCCTTTCCAGCCGCAACCCATCCCTGGGAAACATCCTCACACACACTCATCCACACACATACACTACGGACAATTTAGCCTACCCAATTCACCTGTAGCACATGTCTTTGGACTGTGGGGGAAAACGGAGCACCCGGAGGAAACCTACACGAACGTAGGGAGAACATGCAAACTTCACATAGAAACGCCAACTGACCCAACAGAGGCTCGAACCAGCGACCTTCTTGCTGTGAGGCAACAGCATTACCTACTGCGTCGCCCAATTATTCAACTAGTGGGTGGTGAGTGGTAAGCACTGTCACCTCACAGCAAGAAGGTTGCTTATGTAGCTTTTCACATTGTCATTATGGGGTATTGTGTGTAGAATTTTAAGGAAATAAATGAATTTAA